ATTTAGTTTCTGTTTCTCGAAATAAGATCAACAAGTCGCCGCAATTCGCTCAGAAATTCCTTTCCGCACCTTTATTAGCTCAAGCTGTAATTATTTAGGACCTCTGGGTGCCCCCGAGGACCTCGTAATTTTATCCTCGCCCCATTTTTAACTCGGGCTGAAGAAGGAAGTACAAGGTAAGCCACGAAAAGGTTTAAAACGTAGTTAAATTGATTTTTGAAGATGTAATGAGTGTTCCCTTTTTAAGCGTAACTACTCTAACAGTTTATAGAAGGTGTCGAATTTACTTGTTTTTACAGCAAGTAACAACAAAACCGAATTTGGTGTCTTGTGACGATATAATGTTCTTTGAAAACTATTAACTACAACTTTTTTAAACAGAATTTCTACGCCTATGAATTCTTTTGAAATTTCATGACATTTTTCAAATCGCTGATCAATTTTAGACGAAAAACTGTTCTTGTGAAATTGTTATTGTGAAACTATCTTAGTGCACAAAAATTTACACAAAATTTTAGTTGATTCAGATAGATCTAGCAAAGATGGACTTGTTTCGTGGTCAGTAGTTGTTAGTAACTCACAAATAAATAACTGTCAGTACAATTATCACATTGTAAGTAAAATGTATAGGCAGAGTAGGTCCTGTATCAAGACTCCAACTTACTCAAACTTAGAGTATGCAAATATGCTGTTTGTTAAGGAAAATAAATGACCTGGTGGTACCCGTTGAGTAGCCAAGGAAAGTTTTCATAAAATTTGGGTGAATTTTAGTATAATATGTGCAAAACTCGCACACCATCAGGTGAGGTTTTTTAATAATTAACAATAAAAGGACTAAAATAACCCAAAATATAACTTTTTGGCCTACCAGAAAAAAAAACGATAATTTTTATTATAATGTGAAAATAGCCAACTTGTAGGGAATAAAAAACCTTCAAAATGGCGGTTTTTAAAATCCGATGCGATAATTTGTTGCCCGGGAAATTGCAAAAAACTGTCAAAATTCGATTATTACTAAATAAACAATAAGTTTGGCAAAAGTCAACCTACGACTTTGATATTGCATAAATAGTTGGCTTTTATAGTCCTTAATATGTGATTAAAATTTCAGACCGATTCATCCAATAGTTTTTGCAAAATTCTAAATGTTTATCCCAAAGGCATTATTTTTGCAATAACTTGACATGCAAAATTACCAAGATATTTTAATTCTGCGAGTGTCATATGAAAGAGAAAGACTTCTTTTATTGGAAGAAATTATTTTTTTGCAAAAAAATTATTTTTTACCACTGCAAACACGTATCACAAAAACAATCTCATTTTTGTCTTATAAACAAATAAAGTAAATTTGTTGCTATTATATTTAGAGAGATTATTTTTCCATATTCGTAAAGCTGGTATTTTTACAAAAATTAAAAAAAAAGTTGCTCTAACTTAATTTGGGGCAAAGTTAGACACTTTTTTTTAAATCACAGCTACTTTGTTTATAACAATTAAGATTTCTAATAAGTGCCATTTCAAAGATAAAGAGCTAAAGTTTATATGTGAAATTTTTGAGAACGATAGCTTTGTAACAGCATCTCTGAGAATGCTCCAAATAATGACTTCGATACAAGATGACTGTTAAGTCAGTGGAGGGAAACCTACAAATCCACGAGCTCAAAATTTGAAATAGCAATTTCAAATTGTTGTTGCAAGTTATATCATTGGAACTTGTTGACCGATTTTGCGTACATCACAAATATGCATTTTGTTAATAAATAAAAATTTAAATTAATCTAGTAATTTGTTTAAACATTAACAAAAAATTTTTTTGCAAAATATCAACATCTTTTGTAATTTTTTGTAATGGAACATTATAGGAATGATTAAATATCATTTTTTAATAAATTAATATTGCAATTAACGTATTTTGTTTAAACTTTTACCAAAAAAAAAAATTCTAAAGTATCAACATATGTATTTATTTTGACGGAAAAAGTTATAGACATAGGTTCAATTTTTTTCTTATTAATAAATTAACATTTAAATAATTGAATAATTTGTTTAAACTGAAATTTTAATCTCATATTAAGGACTATAAAAGCCAACTATTTATGCAATATCAAAGTCGTAAGTTGATTTTTGCAAAACTTATTGTTTATTCAGTAATAATAGAATTTTGACAGTTTTTTGCAATTTCCCGAGCAATAAATTATCGTATCGGATTTTAAAAATAGCCATTTTAAAGATTATTTTATTCCGTACAAGTTGGTTACTTTCACATTATAATAAAAATTATCGTTTTTTCTGGTAGGCAAAAAAGTGATATTTTGGATTATTTTAGACCTTCTAAACCCTCTATGAGCAAGGCTTACAGGCCGTACCATATACAGAGAGTCCAACACTTAGAACCTGAAGATTATGCTAAGTCAGAGCTTGAAAACAAATGAAAATCGCAAAACATTTGAGTTTTTTATTATTTTGACCTGTAGAATCCATTCTGGAGTTTGGTGCGATTGCCCCAACTCCTGTATATCTCCTGTATATCATTTTTAATTTTAACTTTACTAATTAGATTTATTTTGCATGCCTAGATTTTTGATATCAAAGAGCACTGTTTAGTTTCATTTGACAGGATTTTTAGGAAAATCTTTTTTGAATCTATTTGAATCAGCTTAACAGCTTTGAAATAAAGTAAAAGCAGTTGGATGCACCATTCTACATTTCTGTTAGTTTTTTCGGTTCAAGTAATAAGGTCCCTCGATATTCCCATAATTATTTTTAAATTTCATGCACTAATTGGCACAGTTCTTCCATTTATCGCGCTAGATTCGAATTTCTCCGTGTCCGGAACAATGATAAGGCAATTAAAACAGTTGGGGCTCGTCCTTCCATAAATTTAAATTTGTTCGAGAAAATCTGGATGTAACTCGTAATAATTACTTCTGCAGAATCGTCGGAAGCGATTAATTAGTGAATCTAGTTAAACCATTTAAATCCTGGACCTATTAGATAGTCATTGAAAATCCGAGTTGCAATTAAATTTTCGTTAGGACTTTAATTTTGCCACATGGGCCGGAGTGTGATGATTCACAGTGTGGGTAGCCCGGCACCCTTGAAGGGATGTAGTTTATCCCAGAATTATTGTCAAATCAAGCATTAAATAAGGAAAGGTATTATTATTCAAATACTTTCTTTACATTTTGATTGGCATTGTTTCATGAAGTAGCTGGACATTTTCAAATGACAAAAAGAGATCTTTTTGTAGTAGCTGTTTTTTACTGATTAGTCTTTGTCAAAGGTGACAACAGAACAGCAAGGATACAGGATACGTTTTTGAATAATTGCATTATTTAACGATTTCTATACAGCGTGTAAGAAGTATTACTGCCATAACTGCAACATGATATAGAGTAATCATAAATGAACAACAAAAGTTGTATATTATAAGGGCGTAAGATTAACAATTTTCAAAATACAGCGAGTATTAATATTGGGGAGTTTCATCACAACGTGACAACAGCGCTACACAGCTGATGCACACCACGTGTGCACGCGGAAGACTTGTCCTACGGAAAAAATGTAAACAATTACACAGACCAACAAAATTTAACTTTTTTTTGGAAGCAGAAATTTGAATATATATTTCCGAAGGATTTAGGTGCGCTGAATCCGAATCTGGCAGCAGAACTGCCCTATCACGTCAGGTTTTTGAGATTTTTGAAACTGTTTTTCGTCATATTTGAGGTTATATAGTAATGTCATCTATATTTTTTTTTCAAAAAACTAATGCATTGAATCTAAAAGTACAAGGCTCCCTCCTTCGAATGCCGTTGAGTTTGCTCAAATATCTTTTTTTTTCGTCGAGATCACATGTTGAAATTTTTAAGTTTCTCAGTTTCTTAATATGCGAAAATCTACTTCTAGACATCAAGCAGTCGATTGCAATTCAGAAACTTCATATCCATACGGTTTGTGGGTTTGGAGTTGGTGGGCTTGGGGTTTGTAAGCTTGGAGTTTGTAGGTTCGGGTTTTGTGGGATTGGGGTTTGTGGGTTTAGGGATTGTGGGTTTGGGGTTTGTGGGTTTGTGGATTTGGAGTTTGTGAGTTTGAGTTCGTATGTATTGAAGGTTTCTGAGTATGAAGTTTCTGAACTGCAATCAACTGTTTGACGTCTAAGGGATCCTGAGTAGATTTTCGCATATTAAGAAACTGATAAACTTAAAAATTTCAACATATTATATCTCAACGAAAAAAAAAAGATATTTGAGCAAACTCAACGGCATTGTACTTTTAAATTGTATGTATTCTACCGTCTGTTAAAATTAAGGCAGTCAAAATTCTAACCCCTGTATATCAGATATATGAGCAGATTAGTTTTATATGTAAAACACAAACGATAATATTTTTTATTAAAACATTTTTTCATGTTCGTTGAAATTGAAAATACTGTTTAAAATTTCATAGAAATTTTCTGTAAAAACATTAACACTACTCAGCTCTAAAAATAAGAAATTACATTTTTTTTTTAACTTACACCGTGTGATATTTTTACAGTGGAACTACCGACGTCTATAAGACATCAGGTTAAGAATTAAGAATATACGAATACATAACGATGTTATATACTCGAGAAACAGACCCTGGTCTATTTTTAATGACAGAAAATGGGGTTGTATCCGGGGGTAGGTATAAAAAGCTTTCGGCTTAAGAATACGGAAGTACTTCCGATAAAAGTTGGGGGGTCTTAATCCCTAATCTGATCACCGAAGAGAGTATGAAAAACAAGAAAATAAAACTCGGTTAAGTTTTTCATTATATATAATGCCCTGACATTTTAGCCCACCTGCACGGAAAATATCGAAATTGCACAAAGAAATTTATCATTTCTGCGCTAGATTACATTTTATTAGCCTTATTTTATTAGACTTCAGTAAGAAAATTTATAATCCAGAAAGATATAGCCAGCATGTTCAACGGACTTTGTACATATTGACCTTACCGGCCTGCAGACTTACCTGAAATTAGTCAAATTGGACGTTGTGTGATTCAGCTGTAGCTTCAACGACCGCAGCTTGCAGTTCCTAGTCTCCCTGGCTATGTTTTCGGGAGTTTGAGTGCTTTGGTCTCTTCTACCTCCTGTTACTTGGTTGGCTCCGCTTCCCCCGTTGACGTACGGCAATTGGGTGTGGGAAGCGCTTATCCTCATACTACTAGTCGACCTAAAAACAGTAATTTTGGTAAATTCTAACGGAAAACCTTTTTACTCAGAAGACATAATTAAATATACCAATTATCGACTAAATGCTGACGTATGTACGTCGTAACGACGTCTTGGCGTGACAGAGCCTTATTTTTCCCGCGTATAAATATCTTTTCATAAAGCCACTCTACAAAAAGAAAACAGCGGAATCGCGATAAAATTATTTATGTTTAACTTGGGAAAGTACAACATAAACTCGAGCGGGGAAAAACTCGTACATTCGCCCGCTCTTGTACTTTTATTGTGTGGCCTGTCACCTATAAATCGGCGAATAAAGTTTTTCTCCACGTCTCCCACGAGTTCGGTAAATCACGCGGTTAAGATCCGGATCATATCTTTCGTTTAGGCACTTCAAACGTCAACCGGAAGGATTCAAAATCCATTCAAGGACTATTAACGTTATTAGAGCTGTATTTATGGGTCGGAAAGAATATTTTTATTCTGAGGGAAAGTGATTGTGCTGTCCTGGTGTGGTTAAGAATGGACCCAAAGCAGACAGGAGTTCTAACAGTAGGATTGAGGCCCAGATAGTAAAGAAGCTATAGAATGAAAACTTACAGTACTATGACCAGGAAATTTTCAATAAAAATGTGTCTCTGATGGAGAATTACCAGAGGAGAGGGTCTTAAACTAAAATGAAGTGTGTTTAAAACTTGTTTGGGACTGCCACAATTAATGAACTGGCTAGCAAAAATCAACACTGATTTGATGGCAATCGAATAAATGTACCACGTATTTCTTGTATTTGGCTTTTTCTTTCTGTGCAATTGCTAATATTTGTACTTTTAACATTGCGACTTTATATCCAATCTAACTTACACTCAACCATTCCATAATTACTCCTTTTCTCCATGCGGATGTTGCAATTTTACTATTCATCGACTATGGTGAGGCGCATGATCTATGACAATCACTGCACCAGGTTCGATGTTACGCAAAATAGATACAAAGCATTTTCAAATGTTCAAGGCAATACCGTTTTTGTCGTGACTTAAGGAGGTATATCGGGGTCCGAGGGAAGTGAGGAGCGCAAGGGGTGTCCTATGATTTTCTTATGAGACTAAAGCCCGCTGCCAATTTGAAAAAATTAAATTCTATTGAAATTATTTGCGATAAGCATTATCTATATAGCAAAGAAATCTACTCATATGCACATAGCGTACATACTGACTAATTAACAACATAAAAATATCATATTTAAGTGGTTTTAAATTATATTTAATGAACGCATAAAGACTATGTAGATGTGGCAACAGCGCTAATAATTGACTAGCAGTTGTACACACTGCGAACCTACAGACCTCGGACATCGGAGATATTGCGCGTCAAATTCGGGTAAAGATGTGTAATCATTCAAAAATGTATTGTGTGTAAACTATGTACGATATAATTATTATATATAGAAAATATATCGTATTATCCTCGCGAAGATTTGTGTCCTTTATTTAAAATCCGTAAATCATGTGAACTGGTAAAACAACAAGAATTATGTTAATTTAGTTCTAAAGAAATGAAGTGTCACTCGCGCCCATCTCTCGTCCAAGTCGAAGAAAATGTTGGATGCAATTTTAAAGGTTCTGTGATAGAAATTACATTATTATTCACTGTTCGTGTTTTTAATCTCTATTTTAGTAATGTTACAAAAGTTTTGCAACTATAACTAATTTTTTAGATATTATAAACTGTTAAAATACCATTTACTAATCGATATGCTAACCTTTCTCCACTTCCTACGGTCCTCCACATACTGGCGGATATGGCAGGTGTCCTCTCCTGCTTTTGAGCAAACCTCCCCCCTAACCTACGGAACTGGTCATTTTCCGGATGTTCAGCTGCGAATCTGGCCTTTTTCCTAAGCAACTGGACTGTGAGGGCATAGGTGACAACCATGATCACCATTGGCATGTAGAAGGCTATGAGGGAACCAAAAACGAAGAATGCCCTGTTGTTTATGACGCACGACCCCGGTTTGGGCATTATATTTTCGTGGTTTATTATACCTGCGGGAAAAAACTACATTAGGCAAGAAGAGGTGGTGGTTAAACTAATGGAGGATACCTAATACTGTGATTGAGCTGGATACTAGCATGGACAACAGCCAGACTAGGGCTATCCTGAGAACTACCGTTCTCGTGGTGGTGCTGTGCCTCGTCTTCAGCGGGTTCCTGATCCCCAGGTACCGACCCAAGCTGATGAAGCACATGTGCATTATAGAAGCTGAGCAAGCTAGAACGTCACACGTGACGTATACATTACACCAGATTACTCCAAAGGGCCAGTTTCCTGAAACAAGAGATACTTTTCAGTACATTATGTCTTGGAATAAAATATATACACGTAAGTTCAATGTTCAATGGAAGGAGCACAAATATTTACATGACAACTCAACCAATATCAAATTACAGATGCTGTTCTCCTAAGCTTTAAATCGTTATAGATATGTCAAGGTTGCCTTGGCAGAATTAATTACCTCGCTAGAGTATACCCATAACATTATCAATATTGTGCTAAAATATAGTTAGGGGCTACATAACTCATGCTCGTATGAACACGTTGGCTGTGGAACTTCATATGTCATAATAACCTGCACTGGAGACAACGCAAATGAAAATGTAACTTGACGCAATGAAGTTTAATTAAATCATAAACAAATGGATACCTAGCATTATCTGATGGTGATTTTAGGTGTGCTTCAGATTTTATATCACAAAAAGTAGAAGAGACGAAAATGAACTATCGTTTCTGGGTAGATCTTGAAAAGTAGTTGACTACTATAAAATGTACATGGAAAATACTTTATAAAAACTTAGTATATTGTGGTATGTGACAAATATTTAAAAAATTAATATAAGATGTAATATGTACATATTTTTATTACTTTTGTTGCTTCCAATTTTATAATATTAAATTGTACAATTAATTTATATCTATCAATAGAAAATACGTCTTATAACTGTGTAAGTATTTACAAGACTACGTAATATACAGGGTGATTCGCATAAGAACCGACACAGAGCAGGGCTTAAAAAATTATTATTTTCAAAAAACTTTGTCGTTTTCAACAAAAACACGAATAACTAATAAAACGTATTATAGCTGTCATTTAAAATCATCGAAAATTCAAAAGTTGTCTCAAACTTGACGATCAGAGAAAAGTTGGAATAAGAATAATTTTATAGAAAAACAAACAACTTAAACAATAGAAATAATTTGCACTATAGAAATTATTCAAAATGATCACCGTTTGCTCTCAGGCATAAATTTATTCTTCGACGAAAATTTAAGTCTACTCTATCCAATAATTGCTGATTGTTTCTAATGAATGTACATTTATCCGTAATGCGATTCCACAATTCTGCTCGAAAAGCAAATGGCGAGGAATACACAAATTCTTTTATCGTTCCCCAAAGGAAGAAGTCACATTTGTTGAGGTCTGGTGATCTTCCTCTTCCCATCCATTTATTTGGATATTGGTGATTTAAAAAGTCTCTAATAACATTACTAAAATTACTCCATCATCCATAAACCAATGTTCCAATCTGAGTTGTAGCGGCACNCAATTAATTTATATCTATCAACAGAAAATACGTCTTATAACTGTGTAAGTATTTACAAGACTACGTAATATACAGGGTGTTTCGCATAAGAACCGACACAGAGCAGGGCTTAAAAAATTATTATTTTCAAAAAACTTTGTCGTTTTCAACAAAAATACGAATAACTAATAAAACGTATTATAGCTGTCATTTAAAATCATCGAAAATTTAAAAGTTGACTCAAACTTGACGATCAGGAAAAAAAGTTGTAATAAGAATAATTTTATAGAAAAACAAACAACTTAAACAACAGAAATAATTTGCACTATAGAAATTGTTCAAAATGATCACCGTTTGCTCTCAGGCATAAATTTATTCCTCGACGAAAATTTAAGTCTACTCTATCCAATAATTGCTGATTGTATCTAATGAATGTACATTTATCCGTAATGCGATTCCACAATTATGCTCGAAAAGCAAATGGCGAGGAATACACAAATTCTTTAATCGTTCCCCAAAGGAAGAAGTCACATTTGTTGAGGTCTGGTGATCTTCCTCTTCCCATCCATTTATTTGGATATTGGTGATTTAAAAAGTCTCTAATAACATTACTAAAATTACTCCATCATCCATAAACCAATGTTCCAATCTGAGTTGTAGCGGCACCTCGTCAAGCAGATCCGTGAGAGTGCTTTGGAGAAATTCTAAATAAGTTTCGCCATTTAGTCGATTGTGTAAAATAACTGGAGCAATTAAATACCAATCAATAATACCGATCCAAAGATTTATTTTAAACTCGCGCTGGAAATGTCGAGAAGTTTACTGAATGAGGATTTATATCGGAATACTCATTATAGTTGTGTATATTTGTAATACCTTTGAGGGTGAAATAAGCATCACCAGTAAAGAGAATTTTCTTTTGAAAATTAATGCCTTGATTTAAAATAAACTGACAGAAATTCACTCTTTAATCATATCATTCGGTAACAATTCTTGCACTTTTTGGATATGATTGGGTGTAGTAGATTACTTTTGATTACTCGATGCACAGAAGTTTGCGATATATCAGTTTGTCGAGATAGATTTCTAGTATTAATATGTGGGTCATCTTCAATTGTATTCAAACTAAGTTCTTCGTCTTGTGCCCTGATTGCAATAGCACGTTCTCGAGTGCTACTGAAAAACTTGCCTGTTTCTCGAGCCCTTCTCTCAACATTGGAAAAAGTTTTTCTATGGGAGATTACACGATTTTGGAATCTTTGCCGATATTCTTCAACACTTCTATAGTTTCCTTCACAGAAACCTAATACTAATTACATATCAACCTGTTCGCTGAATGAAAATTTTTTGACCATTTTCAAAACACTGAGAAAATAATTACTAAAATTAAATGATTTTTTCCTGAATTATTTTAAATAATAGCTACAATACGTATAATTGATTTTGTTGAAAACGACGTTTTTTGAAAACTATCAAGAGGAAGAAATGTTTTAGAATCAACTTCCTCATAATAAATCACCACATTTTGGGAAACACTCAGTGTACACGTTTTGTTTAAAATTTTTACCAGTACTTTCAAAAAACATTAATTTTGACAGTGGAATTAAATTTCATTTTAATATGATTACTAATTAATTGTTTAATGCTTGCTTTATTTAAATTATAATTAATTCAATTCACTAGATACTAAAACAGTTTAGTCACTAGTGATTGATATTTGATTTTAGTCACTAAAAAACCTGTGAAACCCTTAAAAGACTGCAATTCTCGGACAAAACTATTTTAAAAAGGTAGTGTTTACAAGCTATATTGGAAACTGATAAAAAAAAGTAAAACTAAACTAATGCAAAAAATTAAAGGATCAAAAGAATTTTCGAAATGTTTCCGTGATTTTTGACAGACTATATTTAGGTGAAAAATGGTCGTATCGAGAATTAAAAAAAGCATTTTGAAGGTCTATGATTCTAGTTTTTAGATCTTTCTGTCGAAATTTTTTAGAAGTCCATAGACTTGCAAATATTTTTTTCAGCAAAGCCATTGCGTGGACCAGATGCTTGTTTATTCAGCTTCAATTCCTTTTTTTTTAAAATCCAAAACAACAATGGTTTGAAGGTTTCCCAAAATCCCAAAAAAAAAAACAATTAAAATGAAGAAAAAAAAATGTTTGAAGTTTTTTTTCGTGTTTTTTTTTTTGGAAAACCTTCCGGACAGTGAAGAAAACAAAATGCAATTGCTTCCAGCACGATTCGGCTTTTTCGTCTTATGCTTCTGTTCATCAACTCAATAATTAAATTAAAATTAAAGTCGATGACCCAAATCTGATTTCGACCTCGATTCATACCGTTTTTAGAGACAAATTTCTAATTAATTTTTGTCCAGTCTGTAATCGCTGAAAAACAGTTTTTTTCAAATCTACCCTTTTTCTTCCCTGAAAAAAAAAAATATCAATTTAAACGTTATCTGCGGTAAAAATGTGAGAAAATCTCAAAAAAACATGATTATGAAGTGTTTAAGATCAAAAACGCGACCCTTTAATTTTTTCAAAAGTTTGACTGTTTAAAGCATAGAAACGATTCGCTAGATCGAGATGAAACTTCACAGGGTTCTCCTGGGTATATCGAACTGTAAAAGTCATGCTTAAAATTAGTCACTTCGTGAATATTTCTAATTTAGCCGTCAATTCTCTAAAAAAACATAAATTACCCTTTTTTCCCGGAAATCCGGGAAAAAAAGAAAAAAAAAAAATCCGAAAAGTTGCGGCAGCATATTATAGGAGATTTATTTCAGTTTTCAATTCCCTTCAATTCTCTGTACAACCATTTGTCGCCAAGATATCGATGATTGAAGACAAAAGGATCCTTTTCCATTAAAAGTCCGATATTTCGATGAAAAAGGGAACTATCGAACTTTAAAAAAAAAGGAAATTGAAGCTGAATAAACAAGCTATAGTCTGTTTGGAAATGAAAGAGAGTAATAAAACCCCGAGATAAGAACCGGCCATGGGCGTGGTAATATTTCGTTTCAGGTAATTATCGGGTAACACTAATGCTAACAAAAATTACAGGGATTGGAAAATCGACTATCTACAGACTTTTAAAGGAAACAAAAAATGAACAAGATACTGTAAATCCCCCAAAATCATCTACAGGGAGGTCAAAAGTCGTTATAGATGATTTCTTCAAAAATGTCATTCGCAGAAAAGTACACTCATTTTATTTTAAAAAAGAAATACCAACGCTAAACAAAATTTTAAGTGAACTTTCAGAGGACAACGATTTGCCAAAAATCAGTAGAAGCAAATTATGGGCCGTCTTACGAGAGTTGAATTTTTGCTGGGAAAAGCAGAACAGGAAGTCAGTTCTTATCGATAAAGATGAAATTATTTGTTGGCGAAGATCCTACTTAAGATCAATTAGAAAATTCCGTGACGAAGGGAGGAATATTTATTATCTAGACGAAACTTGGGTCAACGAGGGATATACTGTAACAAAAGTATGGCAAGATAAAAATGTAAAAAGTTTTCGACAAGCATTTTTGGATGGACTTTCAACAGGGTTCAAGGCACCTTCAGGTAAAGGGCGAAGATTAATAGTGACACATATAGGTAGTGCCAGTGGTTTTGTAGATGGCGGTTTACTTTTATTTGAATCTAAAAATACAGGTGACTATCACGAAGACATGAACGCAGATGTTTTCGAAGAGTATTTTACACAGATGTTGGATCTTATTCCTCCGGGGTCTGTAATTGTCATGGATAATGCCAGTTACCATTCACGGCAGACCGAGCGGACGCCTACGACTGCTTGGAGGAAAGCCGATATAATTCAATGGTTATCCGGAAAAAACATTTCTTTTGAAACAAATATGGTGAAAAAGGAACTTTTGACACTTGTCAATCTTAATAAAGATCAGAAAAAATATGTTATCGATGAAATGGCAACAAATCGCCAAATAACGGTACTACGGTTACCACCTTATCACTGTGAACTTAACCCAATCGAATTAGTCTGGGCGCAGGTAAAAGGAGATGTAGCGCGAAATAATACGACGTTTAAATTAAGTGACGTGAAAATTTTGTTAAAAAATTCCTTGGAACGAGTAACTGCAGATAACTGGCAAAGATGTATACATCATGTACAAAAAGAAGAGGAGAAAATGTGGGAACTCGATAATTTAATTGACGTTACTGTGGAACCTATCGTTATCAATCTAGGAGACGAAGATAATTCATCAGAATATTCAGAGGATGAATTTTAATATACCTACTTTTTTATTTTCTTTATTGTACATTTATACAACACTACATTTACTCACCATAATTTGAATTTTCAAAATACATATATTTTTGTGTGGAATAAAAGTCTATTCATTAAATTTAAATAAATATTTTGATAATAATATTGAATAATTTTATTTGAATTACTAAAAACCCTCTTAACCCGGTTATGATGCTTAAAGTAGCCTCATGTTTTGAAATGCTGTTTTTATATTGTTTACTTATAAGAGAAATGGACCGAGAAATTGAAGCGGCATAGACAAAGACGGATTGTCGGGGATTAAATTTTAGCTACCTGCTACAATTTAGTACAGTCCGATCGCACAAAGTTTTTTTAAAAGTACACCTCATCCTATACCGATAATACATAATATAAAAATATTGAATATAAGCACCAGTACTACATTTATTTACGATTTGCATACATAATAAGCTTTTATAACTCTCTTTCATTTCTAAACAGACTATATTTGGTCCATGTTAAGCTAAAAAAAAAATTTCCAAAAAAAAAATTTGTTAAATTTTTTTGTCGCGCTATTGCTTACAGTTGCATGATAACCGTAGCTCCTAAAAAATGTCTACCGAAAGATCTAAAAACGAGAATCCTAGAGCTTCAAAATGCTTTTTTTAAATTCCCTATACGACCATTTTTTACCTAAATACAGTCTGTCAAAAATCACGGAAAAATTTCGGGCAATTCATTTGACCCTTTAATTTTTTTGTATTAGTTTATTAGATTTTACGATTTTAATAATATTTTTTATTGGAGTTCTGCGCATCTTTTAACAAAATTGCAAAATTGAACATACATACCTACATTGCAAAATTAAAGCGAAAGTAAAATACAGTATTTCAGTCACAAAAATTTTTAATCGATAGCGTTGTAGTAATTAATACGTAGTTGCCTTGCTGCTAATTTGAGTGGGTTCAAATCCTTCACAGTTGGCCTTGAACTACCGATCACCCTGTGCAGGGAGACGGCCAAATCTGTCACAGCCCGATCTGGGTTAATCTCCCGCATCATTAACCCCGATCAATCGATGCGTGCCGATGTTTAAACAAAAGCGAAGCGGCCGCGTTCCGAAACAAAACACAAACACAACCGTCAGGAGAGCACTCGCCCCATCTCTCGAACCCCGCCGAAGCAGGCGTCGCCAACAAAGCCCCGCGCGCCGTACAATGGGGCCCGTTCGAAAGGCAGGTACTGTTAATTAAGGCCCTCCGGCCGTCGCCCGAATCTAAAACGATAATGATTTCATTAGGGGAACAATGCGGGCGGCTATTAAGCAAACGTGGATGGATGTAGCCGAAAAACAAAGGCGCGAAAAAATGGGAAAACGTAAATAAAGCAATATGTACGCGTCAGGTCGTCTTGTTAGCCCGCAGACCTCGGAATTGGTAGGGAAATGGCGCGATGTGGATGGATGGCTTCGGGGATTTTAATGGGGTCGTTGGGGATATAATGGGGTTTATTCGTTTCAGTGTCCTGGATGCGTGGGAATTTAAAAAAATGGGGACAACATGGACAACAGCAGCAAATTTTACTTGTACAATAATGAATTAATTACCCAGTATTTGATAATTTTCACGAAAAAAAAACATATATTTTCTTAATCACCAAAGTTCAAAATAGTTATTTATGATACAAGTGTTAAAAGTGACATGTTATTTATTGTTTTATTATTATAAAATCAGTTTTAACAAATGTATCATACAATATTTTTTGTAAAACTGTTATTAAAAAAATGCCGTCTGTGAGTTTGAACTCCCGATCTATTACACGCAGTTAGACTGAGACACTCGTTCGTGTCAATGGACAATAAAGAGTATACAGGGTGTCCCATTAATATTGTGAAAATATTCAAGGGGAGTTTCCTTGACCAAATATAAGAAAGAAAGTTCCTATAAACCTACAGACTGTCTTATAAAAAACGCCCCAAACTGTAACACTATTAATAATTGTTCTATTTAAAAAAACAAAAGACTCTTGTTAATGGCTTGACAAATAACGAGCGTTCAAATAAAAACGTGGTCAAGTTGGTTCTGAAAATTTGGACGTAGGGCGTAGCGTATAGCAAATGAACTTAAACGTCATTCGCCGCTATCAATTTGAATATTTTCGTTTTAAAAAGCGTTTAAAATGGTGTTTTCTCAAGAACAAAAAGTGTTTATCATAGAGTCCTACTTTAGAAATGGACGCAAGATTGATGGAATATGGAAGTATTCTATTGAGGAATGTTTCAAAGAATTTCAAAATCAATTTCCCGGCGTTGTTGAGTACAAAATTTTTCAAAGTGCAGTTCAGCGTTGTGTTAATGTTTTTCGTGAAACGGGCAGTGTAACAAGAAAAGAAGGAAGCGGCCGACCTAAAAAGCGGACTGAAGAATTAAAAGAAAATGTCCAACAAATAATGGAAAATGCGCCAAGAACTTCTGTACGTGTTTTATCACAAATGGTGGGAGTATCAGTCGGTACCTGCCACACAGTGTTAAAAAAAGATTTGCGTTTGTTCTCCTATCGTTTAACTTGTCAGTAAGAACTTCATGAAGTTGATTTTCCGCGACGGGCTGTATTTTGTGAATGGTTTTTAAACAACTACGGTGAACTTCATAATATCACCTTTTTTTCTGATGAAGCCTGGTTTCATTTAAGTGGTTACGTAAACTCATAGAATATGAGAATGTGGTCTTCTGAAAAACCAGATAACTTTTTTGTCGAGGGCCCTCTACACGCTCAAAAAATTGGAGTTTGGTATGCTCTCAATCGAAGAAGGATTTATGGACCTATTTTTTTTAATGGTACTCTTACTGCGCAAAGGTATAGAGAAGAAATTATCGCTCCTTTTGTTAACCAGCTGGAAGAAAACGAAATTACAAACTTTTACTTTCAACAAGATGGCGCAAGGGCACATACGGCAGGCGAGACAATGAATATGTTGAGGGAAGTTTTCCAAAATCGACTAATAAGTCTCAATGCTGAACATGAATTTCCACCGAGGTCATGTGATATTACGCCGTGTGATTTCTTTTTGTGGCCTTACCTTAAAAACACTATTTTTGAACTGCCTATTCCTGATTTAAACCATCTGCACGCTCGACTTATAGACAAGATTCGTGAAATTAACAATACCCGAGCATCTTAGAAAATGTCTTTAATTCTTTGAGGAACAGGTGTGAAAAGTGCTTGGAACAAGGAGGGGGACACTTTCAGCAGCTGCTTTAATTTATTGTTATAACAAGGAGGGGGACACTTTCCGCAGCTCCTTTAATTGTTTGTTATTGTTATCACGATTATTCTTTAAAATAAAGTTATATAGTCGTTATTGAAACTGACAGCTGCTATACAGCTCGTTGAGAAATGAGGTTAAGTTGGTCGCTATAAGCTACTTCCTACGTCCAATGTGTCAGAGCCAACTTCGACCACGTTTTTATTTGAACGCTCGTTACTACAATCGAGCACTGATTTTAATTTTTTTGACATCATCAGAACGTTAGGCGATTTTCAATTGTTTTTTCGTAAATGTCAAGTTATAATTTTTTTTGGCCTGTTCGATAAAGTATTTTTTTCTGCAGTCAACGATATATTACAACTTGATATTTATTAAATATTATATGGAAAAAATATTTTTTATAAAATTTATTAGAGAAATGCCATGTCTAAAGTAACAACAACAAAGCAAAACAAATAGATACCAGATCAACAACAAAACAAAAATGTAACAATAAAAAACCTTATAAAATTTGTTCGAACTGTTTTCCATCTTGTTGAATACATAATTGACATCTTCTGGCTACCTCGTACCTAACATTTGATATTAAGTTTGGAGGTATTTTACGGCAAACGTTTATAATCCTCGCTCTTAAAATATCTACATTTTCCGGATGTGTCAAAAATATTTGATCTTTAAGATATCCCCAAAACCAAAAATCTGCGGGGTTGAGGTCAGGAGAACGGGCGGGCCATCGAAGAGGACCAGTCATGCCAATCTACCTTTCATCAAAATTAGCATTTAACCAATTAGTGTTTCTTCTTGTTGAAAATAAATCCTATACACTTCTGCAAGCGGTAAGTTAACCAAAAAGTTTGCAAGATTTTCTGACAAAAGTCTATGATATTTGTCTTGAGTTAGAGTTCCATCGATGAAAAATGGTCCAATTAATCGATTACCTACCGCACCAAACATTGACATTGAATCTCCATTGGTAATTGGTTTCAACAGTTATTCTGGGATTTTCTTGACTCCAATATCGATGGATATTTCGGTTAAAAATACCATTATTATTACTAAAAGTACCATGTAATTTTTCTCCAAAATCCTGCGTCTTGTATCATATTTAAATAAATGGCAAAATGTCCCCTTCGGACACGATCTTCTAACACTTGCACTTTATGTGGTATGTATGATTTAAATTTGTGTTTTTTTTTAAGTTTTTGTGTACCGTGTCTTTTGAAGAATTAATATTACTTGCGATTTCTCGAGTAGAAGCTTGTGGATTTTCCTCAGTACTAGCAAATCTTTTAATTCTACAGGGCCATTAAAAATTCGTTACGAAGAATTTTTAGGCTTTTTAAAAGCACCATACATTCTAAGACTGTCTTCAAGTCTTTTAAATTTTCGTCGCTGTGGAACATCCCTGATTGGAAACCGATTTGCATACAGACGTTCTGCTTGGGCACTATTTTTATTACATTGGTTTATTTAGGCTTTCTTATTTTTGGTGAAGGAAACTCCCCCTTTTTTCGCAATATTAATGGGACACTCTGTATATCGATAATGTAATTTTGCATTTTGGGTCAATTACACAAAAACCGTAAAATTATATGCCTAATGTAACTTTACTTGTGGCGTCAAAATAACCAATGATCCAGTGTATAATTTTACATAAAATTTTTACCACTGTAATTTCCCGCATTAAACGTTGAAACACGCGACTACATCCCCGCCAATTGCGTTAATTTCGGCAATTAAATCCAAAGGAAATAAAACAAACCTCCGTACCCCCGACTATCCATCAACTTATTCAAAATACGCCAACATATCGACCTCGATGACCTCCTTAAAGAAAGCACCCGCCTCCCGAGGAGCCCGCCCCAATAATTGAATTTCCAAATTAACAAGCCTTCACTGGGCGGGTAATTAATTAAAAAATTTTAATTTACATTTAGATTAATTCGCTATTCTATCGCGGCTGCAAATCCCATTCCTTTGGGCTAAAGTGGGTCTTTATCGGGAACCCAATTCTGGCCAATAATGCGTCGCTGGCTACGGGGCGATCGTTTCTTCAATCCTTCATAGCCTCGCCAGCCAACGTGAAGGGAATTTTTATTCGGTATCGGGACTTGCTGCGTGGAAGGAGAATTGCCGCTTTAAAGCGAGAAAATGTCTCAACAAGTACAAGCGTAAATCTGAAGGAACTCACGGAAAGAAATTTGTATAAAAAAATTACGCATTTATACAGGGTGTTTAAATTAAAACTTCCCACCTGGAAAACATCGGGAATTAAAAAGAAACAGAAAAAAAGTGAGGCAGTCGATTTTCTTTTCAAGGGGGGACACGATGGCATAAAACAGGTGTCTTGGAAGCTACCCCTTAGGCAGGGGCATAAACAAACATGTATCTGAATCTACTGGAAACGAACATCTACCCGAATTGTGGAATTATTGGAAAATAACAACGCTTTGCCTGAAGAGGATGTGTAGTTTCAGCAGGATTGTGTTCCACCACATTATGCCGTACCTGTGCGTGATTTTCTCAATCAGAACTTTCCAAATCACTGGATAGGACGCAGATGTACATTGGAGATGCCTCCCAGATCGCCAGATCTAACGCCCTTAGACTTTTTTCTATGGGGACGCTTAAAGTCGGAAATGTACGCAACGCGACGGAACTCACTTGAGGAACTTCGTCGGCGAATAATTGAAGAATGTCAGATGTTAAAAAATAAGTCAAAGAAAGGATTACTGCAAAAAAAAATAAATAGATTGGTTATAAGACTTCTTTGTACATGTCTACGGTTTCTT